ACTTATAAGCTGCCCCATACGGCCTCAAAGTCCCTATTTATGGGAATAACTCACAGGAGAAATCAAAATATTCCAAATAAAACATTTAAATATGATAAATAATCACCACCAAATTCATTCGGAACACAAAACCTATCATCATTTTCATGTCAAATATAAAACCAACAACATAAAGTCATTAATCTTATTATTTGGCTGAATTTACGTTAAATTCATAATCAAATCCTCTTCAAATGATGCTACCAAACACCCCCTAATACATCAACACACTTATTGCAAACTAAAATCAGTGAAACTAAAGCCTTAAGCCACTTAATTTATTTTTAACTAAACCATAAGGTAAAACCAAACCATCATTAAACTCTCCTACACACAACTCCAACCCCTAAACCTTCATGAAAAATACAAAAGGCTTGAAACCTCCTTCAAGCCGCCGCCGGAGGTGAAGGTGGGTCGGCGAAAGCACCGCAAATACTCGAGGTGACGTTTGCCAACCCAGGTCCTAACACCGGCACAGTGAATATAAATGGAAGACAACTCTCTTCAATGTGCACAACAGCCTTGCAACAATCCTGGCTAAGATTTATGTGCAAATTGAGGAAAGAAGGAATCAGCTTCACCACACATTGTTCGACCTCCGTCGCGGCTTTCCAGCACTTCAAGATGTCAGGGATGAGATCGAACGATGAGGCCGTCGGCATCGTCGTGCCGACGAAGACGAGAAAGAGGATGAAATAAGGCATTGTTGCTGATTTGGCAGCCATTGATGTTGCTGTGAGGTTTCTAGCTGTATGTTTGTGTTTTGATGTTGGCGAGATGAGATGTGAATGGAGATTTATATAATGTGGAGTTGATTGATGTTGGGGGGTTTTAAAACGGTTGTTTTGAAGAGTTTTAATTGTGTTGGGGGGTTTTGTATGGTTACGGCTTCGTTGTAGTAATTGGTTTGATAACTTAAGAGCGTTAAATCATAAAAGCTTTTGGATTGATTTGGAGTTATTTATAAATTAGGAGTTTTGAGTTTGTGTAGAAAAAGTGTTGAGATCCTTACAATTGGTTTGTTGAAAATGTGGTCATGACAGGAAGTAGTGTGTTAACATGCGAAAACTTTAGAGTGGAATCGGGCTCGAGCGGCTCCCAAGTTAAGCTCGAGCATGATTAATTTTATCGAGTTTGAGTTCGAGTTCGAGCTTAGTTTACTCTAAAGTGGCTTGTTTATTATGAAAGAGAGAAGATAGTATTAATTTAAGGTAGTGTTGTAACAATATGACAAATAGAACTTGCAATTATGAGAGAAATAATTTGAAATCACATAATATAAAATACAAAATATTAGCTTTTAAATATTTTTAATAATTAAAAAATAAAGATTTCAAAATTCATATATTTTGAGTATATTTTTTATTAATATTTTTTTTAGAACGAGCTGTCCACGGGTCAACGAGTTG